AGTTTTCATGAAATAGTTTTGAGGTAAATATGTTGGTAAGTCTTGATAGGTGGTGTAGATGATATTGAATAAGTTGGCCTGCGGGTCCGAGGTGAAAGACCGAAAAATCCGCGTGGATAGGTGTCGAGTCTTCCGGTTAATACCGGTAAAAATGACAATTTGGTAGTACTCGTATAGTCTACTTGCAAACACCAGCCTAGGGATTACCAAAGACATATTTACCGCCCTTGAAATAAATTATTAAGTTTTGAACAATTGAAATTGCATGACATCATTGAGCATAATGGTTTTCAAAAGATAAAATTGTAATTTATCTTCAAAAAGGGCATAGCATGGCATGTGCATTTTATCTCTTGAGACTTGTATAAAATGTATATGCTTTGTTAAGAATTTTCTACTGGGCTTTATGCTCACCCTACGGGATTTTTGTGCAGGAAAAGATGTGGTGATTCCACCCAACTAGGGGCGTGGAAGTATGTGTGTTGGGAGTACAATGCTCTCATTTTGCGTGACTCTGTTTTGTAAGCCAAGGGTTGTATTTGTGTGGGTTTGAATAACCGTTTTATGTAACCGGGCTTAAGTCTTGGAAATTTGTAAACCCTTTGGGGTATTTATTTGTTTATTTACTTGTTGTTGGATTGATATATTGTTATGTGAAGAACTATTGTATCATATAATGTAAGTTTGGAGATTTATATTTGGTTTTCTTTGAAAGAGCCATGATTGTTGTATTATCATTTGGGCATGAAAATTGGAGCGTTACATAGGCTCTGTGGCTTGTCCTTATTGGAAGTTCAACCAAATTGCAACCTTTTTGTGCACAATTGTCCCATGTTATGGAATCCCCTTCATACACATTTGTTGCTTTTGTATCCTGTTAACTATAATTTTTAAGCTCAACATTACACATTCTTTATTACAGTTCTACAAGAACCTCGCAACTGGTTTGAAAGATATTGTTTGGAAATCAAGAGATGAAACAAAAGAGGAAGCAAATGATGGTCGGTATACAGTAGTGATAGCAATTACCATATTTCAATTGAATATCGTGTAATGGTTTTTGAATGGGTAATGGTAATGCCACAACTTTCTTTGTCAGTTCCATGTTAAAAATGAGTGTAGGGAGTAAGAAAAAAATGCCCGTGAGAGTGAACATGGTGTGAATTATGTATTTTATTGTATTTTATATTATTCATTAAGGGTAGTTTAGCTGCTATTTGATATGTAGATTTATAACATCAATTTCATGGCTTGAGCTGTAACTTCAATGGTTTTTTTGTAATCCGACTCTGATACCTTTAGGCTAGAAAGCCACATTGTTATGTATAATATATTTTTTATATATGGCAATACTTATGTATATATATTTATGCTTATAATTGTTTGCATTTTAGTATGATTGTGATTATGGCACTATCGGTGTTTCTATTGATAAGTTGCAGTTAAATTGGCCCAGTGTTCAATTTGAAAATCTGACTCTTATACTTTTAGGCTAGAAAGCCACATTGTTATGTATCTTTCACTACTAAACCTAGCTGCCTCTCTTTGCAGCTAGTTCATTCGTCGCCCATCTCAAACATACAAACCCTAGTCTAGGGTTTTCATCTCAAGTACCCCTCTCTCTATATATATGTGTGTGTGTGTGTGTGTGTGTGTGTGTGTTTTACCTTCGGATCTTTGTTTTGTTGTGTTTTGTTTTTGGCTTCTTCATTTAATCTTTATACATGAAATATTAAATTTTGACTTTAATTGGTTGAATCAGAAGAAAAATGTTCTTCTTATTGAATAAAAATTGATTCTTTTTTTATTGTGGTTTCTATTGTGGTGACAATACATAAATCTGAATAAAGGAAATTTTTTCAGCCATAAGGTATGCCAATTTCGGATTTTGTTATCTAGAGTTTCTTTGGTTCTGTTTATGGTGTCCAATTCACTCGAAAAATTGTAATAAAGTGTATTTGTTTTTCTAAATTTTTTGTATAAATTTTGTAACTTTATTAATCTTAGGGTCTATTTTGCTACTCACGGTTGAATGCATTTAATATGAAGTTGGGTGATGTGGGTATGACTGAGATTTTTACCATCAACTAAAAAAAGAAAAAAATGATCTTTCTTTATGATTGAGACTGGGATTTAAAGTTTTCATTGATCTTTCTCTGAAAGTGGAACTTGTTAGTTTATTACTGTTGTAATCTTCAGAATTTGGATGTGTGTTGTTAGCTCGTTTAATTTAATTTTATTTTATTGTAGATTTTTAGGCTATGCTCCAGTTTGTACCCAAATTAACATATTTTATTAGTTTTCTCGTATTCTAGGCACTAGAATTTTTTTTTTAATTTTTTTTTTGGCTATGTTGTATCAAAGTCAATGCATTTATACTTTCTAGTCATCTAATTCGAACAACTAGTATGCATTCATTTGCTCTTTTTACATTTTAGAAATGCAGGTGTCTCTATTGTCACTTTTCGTTTTTATCCTTTCTAATGTTGTTGCTTTTTCCTCTTCTACAGTAAGCTTTAGAGTGATGCCTTGAGGGAATTCATTACCAAAGTCTCTCTCTATACTCATGTGTATATAAATATATGTAAGCTTCAGAGTGATGCCTTGATTATGGCACTGATGGTGTTTTTATTGATAAGTGCAGTTAAATTGGCTCAATGTTCAACTTGAAAAATGTCTCTCTTGTTTCAAGCATTTGAGCTCTGTGAGAAGTTGGTGATTTTTTAATTTTTAATTTTTGGATTGAAGAGTATATATATTTTGTGTAGTAAAAATCTCATGAAATGTGCAATTATATTGGATATATAAAAATTGTGATCATCCCAATGCATGGTTGGTGTATGGATATGTAAATTTGAGCCATTTGTATTCTTAGTTAAATTCTCAAGCTACACTCTTAGTTAAATTATTTCTCTCTCTCTCTCTCCCTTTTCTTTTTTGAGAAATTAGTTAAATTCTTTGGCTTATACTATGTTTCAAAAAAAAAAAAAAAAAAAAAAAAAAAAGGGGCGTTTTTTAAAAAATGCCATTAAATGACGTCATTATGATGTCACTTGTTCGTTTGTGACAGAAGTTCAAACAGACGTCAAAGATTTTGTGGCATTTTAAAAAATGCCATCTAATATTTTTAGCGACGTTTTTTAAACGTTGTAAAGCTATTGCGGCGGCCGTATCAGCGACGAAAATTTTAAATGTTGCTTTAACTTTTTATGGTGTTTTTCAGGCTAAATGCCGTTAAAACTCAAATTTCCTGTAGTGATATGATTTGATTTTGTATAAATCCCTAACAAAATCCTAACAAGAGGGGTTAACTCTAAGAAGATAATATTTTGACGTAGTTAATTATTGAATTTTGACATTCATGCGGGTAAATTATAAATAAGCCATAGTTTTAGGAGTTTATTATAATTTACCTTTTTATTTTTTTGTCTTTTTGTGTGGAGGCTCTCTTTCTTCCTTTTAAAATTCGTCTTAAAATCTAATATAGTTTATTAAATGGTTTATTATGATGTATTAAATCATGTGTTCTCTAATAATAATAATAATAATGAAGAGGGGGGTAAATTACACCAATAATTCTAAGATTTTATCTCTTGTGTCATTTTGATCCCTACACTTTTAATTTGCTCAATTTTGACTCTTAACTTTAGGTTTTGTGTCAATTTGATCCAATCGATAACGCTATTAGTGTTTTTGACAGAAAAAATCACTGTATATGTTGGAGTTTACTCATTAAGTTGAACAAGTTTAAATTTTTGCCCCTAAAAGTATTAAGCATGCCATTTATATGCATATTTTTCATTAAAAAAATTCTACCAATTGTAAGCAATTGGATTAAATTGAGATAAATTTATAAATTTATGATCAAAATCGAGTAAATTAAAATTATATAGACTAAAATAATACAAGAACCAAAATATAGAATCTATCAACATAATTTGCAGTAATAATAATAATAATAATTTCACCATTCTCAATAAGTGCTCGTTTGGCAATGACTTTTTTAGTTGGCTTTTTGACTTTTTTGACTTTTTTAGCCTGGGACTCTTTTAGTCGTTTGATATTCTTGTTTGGCTTTTATGGCCTTTTGGCTTTGGAATTGTGTTTTTTTTTTTTTTTTACAACAAGGGTAAACCCGGGATCGCTATATGTCCTTTTGTCCTTTTGTGATTTTTTTTTTTTTTTTTTTTTTTTTTTTTTGCCCTTTTGTGATTTTTTAGCCTAATACAAATACCAAACGACCCCTAAGTGATGGATACATTTCTGCAGTTTGACATTTTCATGAGTGAATAACTTTTTCAATAGGAAAATGCTAGGGGTAATCACATCTTAGTGAGAGAAAAAAAATGAAAAATGCTTGGTAGTTTGAATTTGTGTGGCTCGAATGGCTCAAATGTATCAAAACGACGTCGTTTTAAGACATTCAAGCTATTCGGGCCATAAAAATTCAAATTACCAAGCATTGTTGAAAAAAAATTACACAAATATGGAAGGGTGTAAATTACACTTACACCTCATAATCTTTCACTTACACCTCAACACACACTACAAGAAAATACACATTTGCCGACCACTTTTGCCGACTAAAAGTATTTTGGTCGCAAAAAATTGACATTTGTCGACCAAAAAAAAATTTCGTAGCTAAAACTTGATACTATTACCGACTAAAAATATTTTGTTGCCAAAAAGTGATTTTTAGTGACCAATTTACTATTTTAGTCGCAAAAAATTTTCATTTGGCAACTAAATAAAAATTTGGTTGGCAAAGGTTTGGCATTTTGTTGAAAAATATTTATTTAGTTGCCAAAATATAATTTTATGCAACCAAAATTGAAATTTGGTCAACAAAAGTCAAAAAAAAAAAAAAAAAAAAGTGGGAATGAAAAACTTTTAGCGACTAAAATATTTTGGTCGCAGATAATAACATTTGCCGACCAAAAACCAATTTTGTCGCCAAAGGTGTGAAAATTTTAGAGGGAAACCATTTAATTGCCCCCGCCTGTTCTCTGTTTAAACCAATCAGATTGTTCTCTCTCTCATACAAATTCTCTTTCACCACCAAACCTCAACCCACCCCACCTCACCCCACTTCGCCTCACCATCAACGTTGTCGTCCGCCGTTCTCGCCTCTCCACTGTCACCACCGTATGTTGCCTCTAAGCCCTTTTCTTATACGCAAGCTCTAGCCCCTTTTTCTTCTGCATTGTTCCTTCGATGTTGTCTCTCTCGATATCATTCTCTCTGTTTCAAGCTCTCTCTGTTGCCATGGTGATCTGAAGAACAAGGACGGTATGAATCTCTCTCTTTCACACCCACAATCTCTCTCTCTCTCTCTCTCTCTCTCTCTCTCTCTCTCTCTCTTGAATCGGCTCTATCCCTCTTCTCATCCAGTTTAGATTGTCCTTCTTCGATATGTCGAAGGCTCTTGAGTTCGAAGAAGAATCAATTTTGAAGACTATAAAGTCTCGATATGCGCTTCTCTCTATTTGATGTAGGGCTTTTAGATCTGGATGAGTTTAATTTGGATTTGACCTATTGGGATCTGGATCTAGGGTTTTTCTACCAGGTATGGGGTTCTAATTTGGATTTTAAGTTCGTTCAAATCACTAGCACTATTGTTTGTGGTTTCAATTTAATTGATTTAGGCTCTTAGATCCTAATTGATTTTCATTTGGATCTGAAATATGTGTATGAGAGAGAAAAGAGGAGAGAGAGATGTTAGAAAGTTGATGTTGATGAACCAACACAATTATAGTTGGAAAGTTGCTCAAAGTGAACCATTGCTTGCAAGACTCAAATCCTAAGAACTGCTGGTAGAAATATATTTATTTAGCTTCAAGTGAGTAGGTTCAATATCGATATGTATATATATATATATATATATTTATATAGCCCACTTGAGGTACAAATGGATTACCTGGTCTGAAAATCTCATTTCATGACCTAGGTTGATTTTTTTAATTTTCTTATTAAGAATTGGGGAACCCTAACCAAATACAGGGTCTAAAAACTACAAAATTGTATCAAAGTAAAAAAATAACAGATCAAAGATAATTATAAGAACTGCGTGATTTATTTAAAATTGGGTTAGTACACCTAAAGAAAGAATAAGTGTAAAGAGAAATTTACTAAGTATATTTGAAAGCTCATCCTGAAAGACTACTTAATTCCACAAAATATTTTTATTAATCTTGATTTGCATAGTTAATCAATGTGTAAGCCTAGTGACAAACATTATGTCATAATTTAGTAAAGTCGCCCATCTTGCACAAGATGAGTTCTTGAAGGGATACCTTCCCATAGATCCTATAACTAATGATGTCTTTGAAATTGCAAAAGACGGAGTTCTTCTTTGGTAATCATTAGTAGTTGGTGCTTTACGTAGTAACTAGATAAAATCATACGCAGATACGAGGAAAACATATGTCCTTAGTCTGTTATTTGGTGTTCTTGTATTCACTAATGAGAAGCATTTTATTTCATGCAACAAGCTTATTAATCTGGCAGTTCTCGATATTATTGATGAACGAGCGATCAATACTAAGAGAGTACTCAACCCATAGGAAAGGAATGAAAATCATACTCTTTGCCTTCCCAAGGTTGTTTAGATTATCTGAGGATAAAGAAGGGAATCTGAGCTCTTTCATGCAGAGGAGGGATATCTCAGGAAATTGGAGGCTTCTGTTTACAAGATCTCTTCTTGCGTGGGAGGAAGAGGAGGTTCAAAGGTTGCAAGACTTGACAGGAGCTGCTCCCAGGATTAACGAGGAGCTGCCAGACTCACTCAGGTGGACTGCATCTCCTTCAGGTCATTTCACTGTGGCTTCAATGAGGAAATGGTATGAGGAGACTCAAGGCCCCAAAATGCAGGTTCCTAACCTGTTATGGAGAGGTGTGGCCCCTCCAAAAGCTCAATTTTTGAGCTGGTTGGCATGGAGGGGTAGGGTTAAAACCATTAGTCTCTTACAGAGGTTTAGGGCCTTAAGCAGTAATGTGGAGAATCTGTGCCTTTTCTGCAAGCTGGAACCAGAGTCCGTGGATCATTTGTTCCTGCAATGCAAGGAAATATGGAAGGTTTGGTCATCTTTGCTTCAATGGTGGGGAGTATCTTGGGCCATTCCTGCTACAGTTGATGGTGTGCTGTTATGGTGGATGGGAACAAAATACAAGAAGTCAGTTGCGAGGATTTGGAGGCTTGTTCCAATTGCAATGTTATGGTCAGTATGGAGGTTAAGAAATGAGTGTGTGTTTAAAGGAAACCAGCCAAATATGGAAGAGCTTGGTGAAATAGTGAAAGTAAGGGTTGGGTTGTGGGCCAAGTCTGGGCTGCCCGGGTTTCCATACTCAGTGCATGACGTAGTGGCTAATCTGAATCAGGTGACTTCGTGTATTTAGGGCTTTGCTGCTGGGCTGTTTGTGCTTCTGTGGTGTGTGTGATTGGTTTGTTGCCCTGGTCAGCCAATCCGTGTCTGCTGGTGCGTGTAACCAGGTTTGGATCAAGGAAGTCTGCGGGGTTGATGCTGGCAGATATGGTAGATCTGGTTGAATCAGGTAGTGGAGAAACTTCAAGTGGAGAAACATCAATTATGTCCGTTACTGATTATACAGATGCTGTTCACAACTTCATATCATCTCAGGAATGTCTACATTGGTGGGACTCTTTCCGGAGCCTGGTGGGTTTGTATGCAGCTTGGCGGCAGGCCGTGCAGAGGTCTGCTTGGCTCTGGTTTGTGAAGGTGTACAGATGGTTGATTTAATGTAAAGCTCTATTTCTGAAGGGTGGTGGTTTCTGATCCAAGGTCAAAGGTGATTTCATCCAGCTAGCATCTGTGCAAATTTGAAGCATATCTGTTATGGATTCAAGGGTGTCGTGCCCATGTTGTGTAGTCTGCTAGCTCTGATTCCTCTTATCTTGGTTGGCCTGCTTTCTGTGAGCTATGGTTGCCTTTCTTCTTCCTGTTTTTTTTTTTTTTTTGCTTTGTTTGTTGGTTTCTCACCAACTGGCGCTTGGAGCTTCTGTTAGCTCCAAACTCCTCTTTTTTGTTGTTTTGTATCTTTTCAGTTCTTTCATCTATATAAGTTTTCTTTGCCGATCAAAAAAAAACTCTGCCCAAGCAATTGGATGCACTGTAGTCAATATTGGGACTCAGGATTTCATTGAAGGAAGGGTATGTCCACATGTGAACTCAGAGATGAATGCTTTCTTACATATTAAAGTGTTTGACATGTTGTATAGGTTGGCATGATCTTATTTGGATTTTAAATCCATTTGAAACTAAAGATTTAAGAACCTCTTTCTAAGAAAATAGATTGTGACTTATTGGAGTTTCTTTCATTTTGGATTGGGATTAGTCTTTACTACTTCAGTCGTCTTACTTTGACCAAGGAATTTTTCGGGTTTTGCAAGCACGTGGGGCTTATTTTCTTCATTTCCAATTTAATTTGTGTACTTAAAATATATTTTGTGGACTAGTTTCTAGTGTTGTGATTTTGTTTTTGTGTTCATTTCCCCCAAATTCTTTACGTAGTTCTCAATTCTGAGTTGCATTTCAGAAAGTGGTCTTGAAGATTTAATTATTTGGTTTTATGTGGTTAATTAATTGTTATTTGTCAATTGATTAGGTGTGTCAACTTGCTTATGTTATTACTTTCATTATTAGATCTTTGAATGGGTTGGATTGGATGGCTTTGTTCTTTCTACAACTATCCAAACTAAACAAAACTAGAGCCTAATGGGCTTCCAAGAATAATTCCCTCTTATTGGGGGTTAAACTGAACCTACCTTCTTAATTTGATTAATGATTACTCTCAAGAATGATAATACATACAAATTAGAAAAAGGAGTTGGCTCAGCTCAAATTTAATAAATCTGCTTGCCTAGGCCAAATCAACGCATATCAACTTTAACCCTTATAAAGAATTATGATCTTGTTTGCTGAATTATGTCAAGTTTAATTGTTATGTCCTTTATGAATTTAACTTAAAATGAAAAAAGAGAAAGAATCTGAATGGTCATACATGTTGAATTGGCTACAGATTCTGGAGGTCACCCCATGTGAAAGGGGTGATCCTCATGTCAACAATGGAAGGCCACCAACCTCATGTCAACAATGGAAGGCCACCAACCATGTCAAAAGTCAAAGAATGAGGGCTCTCCCACCTACTCCTTTGTGTATAAATAGAGACGGGAGGGAGAGGATATAGATATCAGATGTGGAGCTGAGAGGTGTGAGTTGAGAGCAAAGAGAGAGAGAATTACAGAGAGTGTTGTAATTCACCATTTTGTTCAATATAAGTGAATCCGCTGCCCGTGGACGTAGGCGACTTGCCGAACCACGTTAAAACTTGTGTGTTATTGCTTGTTTGAGTTCCCTGGTGTGCCCCCGATCCTCAACAATACATTCAGAGTATGGTTTATAATGCATTTATATGACCAGAAAAAAAATTTGATATAGTTGAATTTTATGCACTGTTTGATCTGTGTTTTGGGTGCGTGAGAGTTGTTTGTGATTTGATGTATAATTTGTATATATACAATAACATTTCATTCATAGAGGTTACTAGTAAATTTGAGTATCTGCTGTCTCATTATGCATGCAAGCAAGTGTAGCCGATTATTCTTTTATCAATTTCCTTTCTAAATTGTTAATTGATGAATTATTCACCCTTTCTACATGAGCATAGATAATACTATAGAGTTGTAATGATTGGAAACCCTCTTGTACTTTTAGAGGTAGTAATATTTATGACCACAAACACAAAATGCGTGTGTGTGTGTGTATTATCATTTATGAATAATTTTATAAGTCTCCTAAGCTTTCAATTTACTTTATTCACTTGTGGAAACATGATGGTCTTGCACATTGATTTTTATTTTTTGTGGAGAAATTATAAGAAACTATTTTCTCTTCCTGTGTACTTTCCAACATTATGATACCAACATTATTTCCACCTCTTTTTTTATTTTTATTTTTTCTTTTTCTTTCCTCTTTCTCCTTATTTGCAGCAACTACCTGTTTAAGCTTTTGCTCATTGGAGATTCGGGTGTTGGCAAATCATGTCTCCTTTTGAGGTTTTCTATGAGTTCTCCCTCTTTTACACAGCTTATTCTTCTTCTTTTCCCCCTCCATTTATGTTCCTTCTTTCTTTTTCAAGATTGCTTTAATTAGCCATGTTGTTTTGATGTGATTGTGTTATTTTTCAATATTTTCTGGTCTCCAGACAAATGTGGCCTCTAGATAGATGCCATGTTCATTAACCATTTTTATTATTTCTGTAATCAGGATGATTCATATCTAGAAAGTTACATTAGCACTATTGGAGTTGACTTTGTAAGCAATCTTTTTTATTTCCCTTGGTTTGGGTTGTTGATTACCTTAACATAGATTGTAAAGTAGTAAATTATTCTTATGTTCTCTTCTACAGAAAATCTACACAATTGAGCAGGATGGAAAAACCATTAAACTCCAGATTGTAAGTTTTAAGTGCGTTATTAGTTTGTTCTGTCTATAAAAGCTGTAAATTTCAGTTTCAGCTTTGATTTAGTGTTTAAATGGGAATCTGTGAAAATAAGGAATGCCATATAAACATTTCTTTGCCGTAGGATGGAAATTTTGCATAAAAGTATGCTTAAATTCTATAAAAAAATTGAAGCATAGCTTTGTTCAAAATGAAATCCAGAGAATTCACACTCATGAGATTATATGCTAATTATATGACAATTTTGTTTTTAGTCAAAATTTATTGTAATATTTTCTTCAACATGGTGTCCCCTGTTTTTCTATAAATTGTTTTCTTGTTAACAACTCTCATCTTTCTTCTTTTCTCTGGACATGCAGTGGGATACTGCTGGACAAGAATGTTTTAGGACAATCATTAGTAGTTACTATCGCGGTGCACATGGCATTATTGTAAGCATTGAATTGTCTTGTTGTTGAGTTTGCTTTTTAATGTATGGATTTAGTCTTATTCTAGTGATTTTGTTGTCAGGTTGTTTACGATGTGACCGATCAAGAGAGTTTTGACAATGTCAAGCAATGGTTAAGTGAGATTGACCGGTATGCAAGTGAGAATGTAAACAAGCTTTTAGTTGGAAACAAGTGTGACCTTACTGCACCGAAGGTGGTGTCTTATGAGACTGGAAAGGTAATATAGTTCGTATCTTGTTTTTTTGTTCATTGATAGCAAATCTCTATTACTCATACAAGGACTCTGGATTTTAATGAGACTTTGTTTTTATTTTGTGCAAGCATTTGCAGATGAAATTGGGATTCCTTTCTTGGAAACAAGTGCGAAAAATGCCACAAATGTGGAACATGCTTTCAAAATTGTTTAATAAAATTAATGATTTATATATTTTGTTGAATGTTCATAATTCAGGTAAATTGTTGGTTTGATTGATTATTGTAAATTACAGATTGTATTGAATAGATTGGATAGATTATTATGAATTACAGGTTTATTTTGTTGCATGTTGGCGCAAACATTTCTTTTGGTGACCAAAATATTTGGTCGTGGAATGTCATAATTGACGACCAAGCTTTTTAGTCATAGATGACCAAACCTTTTGGTCGTGGAATGTTACAATTGGTGACCAAACTTTTTAGTCGTGGAATGTGATAATTGGCGACCAAACTTTTTGGTCGTGGAACGTGACAATTGGCGACTAACATGTTTGGTTGGGAACATGTCACTTTTCGTGACTAAAGTGTTTTAGCGACTAAATTGATTAGTTGCAGTAATGATATATTTAACAACCAAAAATTTATTCAGTAAATCCAACTTTTCCGGACTAACAAAAGTTTTGGTTGTTAATTACTTTTGCCGACCTTCAATTGGCAACTAAGGTGGTGACCAAAAAAATTGGTCGCGAATAGTTTTTGCCGACTAAAAATGGACTTTTGTAGACCAAATTTTTAGTCGCTAAAAATGCAATTTCCTATAATGACAAAACCATTTGCATCCCACATATTTTTGTAATTTTGTTTGTATTAAAACCATAATAGCATTAAAGCAAGCTTGAATTGTACAGAACTCAATTTCAAATTAATCAAACTTTAATCCTCATTAATAGTACAAGCCTATTTCATCTTTTTGTTGTAGTATTAGGTAATCTTATACAACAGTCTCCCCAGAAATTCTAAAAATTTTGTTTTCCTAAATTGTAAGTAGAAAATAGCATCACAGAATTGAACACAATTCCAAAATATTACAAACAATAAACAAATAAAATTTGTTCAATCGAACAAAAACTTGAACTAATCATTGTGTTCTTCTTAGATACGCGCGCGCACACACACACATATATATATATATATATATATTTGTATGTGTAGGCAAGGAGAGAGAGACCGAAAACGCACCAAATGACTCACTATGCTAACTAAACTAATCACTTTGTCCTCCTCCATATCTTCCACACTTCTATCCTCTACGTCACTAATTAGGGTGCCATCAACCTCTCATTCATCGATCCCAATTACTCACCCCAAGAGTCTCAACAAAAACTCAAAAATGACTTTAACAATTTCACCAGCATCAAGGCCACCAATCTCTCTTAGCCTCTCGTCGAAGCTCAAATTCCATCCAAGATCCATGTAGTCAAGGACCACGATATGAAAGAGAAATTGTGCTTAGGGGGTCGAGGTAGACCAGCAAGGAACGCCTCAGAACGGTTAGCGATTATTGCATGCATCATTGTATCTGTATGATGGTAGTGGTTCGGCGAGAGAGGTGGATGAGAGAGATTTAGAGCTAAGCCCATCTCCAGATCTCTAGTGGCTCCAGATCTCCATCCCTAGATCTCTTTCATAACCAAACACATTAGATAGAAAGAGTATGAATTGTTTCAGCAGATAAAACAAACTTGGGAATGGAAAGAGTCGTCCTCTCACATTCATGGGTAAAATAGAGGCGCGAATTTGGGAATATTTTATATAAAAATCAAATTGAAATATTTTATACAATCACACCTATTTAGGGAGTGTGATTAAAAAATATATATATATATATAATAATACTTATTTAAAAAGTGTGATTAAAAATAAATATTATTAAGTATTATTGTAGTAGTGTATATATAATCACACTTTAATTAAAAGTGTGATTAATATATATATATATATATAATTACACTTTAATTAAAACGTGTGATTAAAAAATATATATATAATCACACTTAATTGAAAAGTGATATAAAAAATAAATATTATCACACTCAATTAAATCAAGTCTGATTAAAATATCAATTAATTTTTTTTATTACACTTTCAATAAAAGTGAGATATTTTCATTTGTTAAAGTATGATCTTTAACTATTTTTGTAGTAATGGTCTATCTCACTATATTGAAATTCTCCCAAAATGCTATCTATAATGGTATTATTAATCTCATTTTCTTACCTTCAAGACAGAAGTAAATAAGATCATGTATATTTAATAATGTAGGCGTTATTGCTTTGTGTCTTAGGGTAGAAAACAAAAATAACAAGTAAGAATATGTATAACATTACTATCTTCAATAAAGTTATTTATTTGAATCTCATTTTCAGATCTTCACCGTCCACGAATCGAAAGAAAGAAAGAGAGAAAGAAAGAAAATAATCCAATCACTTGTAAAGATGACGTACTGCTTACATTTTTGGAAATTAAGTATATTTAAAAAAAATAATTACAAACTGATGGTAAATTTTACCAATTTTAATGATTAAAGTCGTAAATTTTTCATATTTTTGTAATTTTTGTTTTTGTTTTTGTTTTTTTTGAAAAGTATGGCTTGTATTTTCTCTTCACTCTTTAGAAACCAATAATTTAAAGAAAAATATTTGAGACATTTAAAAAGTACTCACAATTCTATCTATAATAATGTAACATAATTTATGTAATTTTTAATTTGTTATATATTTAATGATAATAGACCTATCTCTCATATTATATAATTGTAGATAAATTTATAAATTTAAATATGTGTTAATTTTTAGAATGTAAAAATACTTTCCAGGTGCAGTAAGCCACCCAGAAAAATGAGCTCATGAAAAAAAATGGTCCTCCACTTCGAGAGTAAGGATCCTCTCATTGGCTTTTTATTTGGTGGGTTATTAAGCTCACTTTTGAGCTTAATTTTGATAATTTGAATCGTTCATATTTTAAGATTTATCATATATATCATGCTTGTTAAAAATCAAATTAATCGGATATTAGAAGGATTAAAAATCGTTTATTAAAAAAAATTTAATAAACAGTTTTACTATTTAATAAAATTTTTAATTCACGTAATTTTTAATATCTAATCAACTTAATTATTTACAAATTTAATATAAATAACAAATCCTAAAATGTAAATAATTTAAATTATCAAAATTAGGTTAAAAAATAAGTCCAACAACCCACCAAGTAAAAAACCGAGAGGATACTTGCTCACTCCACTGCACCTCTATATAACCAGATCTTAGTCGTTGCACCAATTCACATCTGGCCTTCTGCTAAACACATCCTTTTTATAAGAGCCACTCAAACTTGTTTTACCTTCCACACCACCAAATTTAACTTATTCCAAACCCAGATCAAGAAAAAAATAATCTCCAAAAAATAAAAAATGTTGAACAGTCAAGCTCACCAGTCTCATACTGTCCAAATCCTAAATCCATGGCACAAGCCATTCCCCTCCGGAACCGCTAGCCCTTCGTCGTCACTACACCTGCTGAAACCAGGGTTTTGTCGAAACCAAAAGGATAAAGGTCGTGTTCGGTGTGTTCCTAGCATCATTAAAGCCATAGCAACCACTACTACCGAGCAGACTACGATTGTTAAGGCTGTTGTTTGTGTGAAATTAACAGTCGGTGGTCTCTTGTCGAACCTCCGATTGAGCCGTGGGCTTGACGACATTGCTGATATGCTTGGTAAATCAATCCAGTTGGAGCTAGTTAGTGCAGAGCTTGATCCCAGTAAGTATTTATCTATTTTTTTTTTTTTTCAAAAAAAAAAAAAGAAAGAAAAAGGGCAAAAAGAAAAAAAAACCTATATTGATGTTTGCTATGACTTAAAAGAGTTGATTATAACTCATATTAATTTGGGAGACATTGTCATATTATTTGGTGCACTCTCCATTTATAATAGAAGTAATTTAAATAAGTCAAAATAATAACAATAATAATTATCTAAGAATTTAAAAAATAAATGAGAGATTTATTAGGATTTTTTTTTTAAGTGTTTGTATCTCAATTAGTCTATAAGATATTTGTATATTTTAATAAGTTCTATTATTTGAATATTTGATCCACCAAATCATAATTATCATATTTAAAGTATTTTATGGACATTTCTACTCTTATAAATATTTTTTGAACAGTTAGAAATTTAGTAATATGAACATTCATATTTTATAATGTAAATTTTCACATTGACTTATGAATGTTCACATTGACAGTGTGAACAGTTATATCACAAAATATTTAAAGGGTTGTTTGTGATGATTTAAATAAGTACACTTTTTATCTTTTTACGAAAAGATATATAGAAAAGTAGAGAGGTGATGTGATGGAAAAAAGATAAAAAGATGAATTATTTTAAGGATACCAAACTTGGCCTTATACTGTAAATGTTATTTTGATAATTATGTCACATATAAGACTTATCGAAATATAAAAAAATAATATAAACTAAATAAAATATAAATATGTGAAAAGGAATTTATGAATTTTAGTTTTTACTTTTTAAGTCTCAAACACTAACTAACAATAAATTGCACCACACTTCTAAGCCACTCCTCCTCCCTCCCCCTCTCCCTCTCAGGCAAAGTCCACTCTCTTTCACTAAACATGTTTTCTTAATTTTATTTTTATTTGTTTTTAAAACATCATTTTGTAATATGAAATGTTTTCTACTTAAATTTAGAAATGAAAATGTGACCAAATACAAAAGATTTTGTTGAAAAATGTTTTCTTCGTTTTCAACACATTGTGCAGAAACCATGGGTCAGGGGGGAGATAGGGATTTTTTTTGGCTTAGTTTTCACGGATTAAACTTTTAGTACATATTTTTATGAAAGTTTTGAAAATATTGGTAGAATAAGATATTTTTGTATGTTTTAAAAGTCTGTGTGCTTGGAGTATCTATGCCATGTGTTAATTATAAATTTTAAAGGGTCATTGCAAACACTACAACATATTTAAATTTTTTGACATAAAAAATTAGGGACACAATATTTTAGTTCTCAAAAATGTTATTGTTGTATTTGTAGCAACAAATTGAACTTTAGTGATGAATCACTATTGTTTTTGGACTGGAAGTCTTGTCGCAAAATGTAAATCTTTTTCACACCAAATTATTTTCTTGCTAAAATAACATTTAATAGGGACATGTTAAAATGTTCTCACAATGAAAAAAATTAATCAATGTTTACATTTGGAAACCAAAAAAAATTAGTCCTTACAACCTTTACATAATGTAAAGAC